TCAGCGGGCCTGATCTCTTGGCGAAGCCACACGGCGCGGAGACTCTTCATGTGCACGAGCCCGAGCGCCGACCCACCGCCCGCGGCGCTCACTGGGGCTCCATCCCGGGCAGGGCCGCGGCGCTCCGGGCTCTCCGCACTTCGTTTCCGAGGAAGGGGCGCTCAGTGCCCCGCGCCCGGAGGATGAGGGGCCGCCGCCCGGGGACGCCCTGCGCGGGCCGAGCCTACCCCTGCCATGCCCACATCCCCGCGGAGCGCCCCGCGCCTCCTACATCGCTCCCTCCGCTCGCACACCTGCTCCCTCCGCCACAGCCAACAACTCGGGGAGTTCGCAACTTTTCCTCGCAGGCCCTGAAACATACACAGCACCCGAAGAGAGTGAGGGGGGCGCGGGTGGCGGGGCGAGAGGGCGGGGGAGCCGACGGGACCGGCCGAGGGAGAGAGAGGGCCGGGGGGGGTGGAGGGGGGGTGCGCGGGCACGGCGGGAGCGGGGGCGGGTGACAAATGGATGACAGGGGCGGGAGCGGGGCCGTGGGGCGGGGGGCGGCGCGCTGACAGCGGGGCGGCGGCGCCGGCGGGGCGCGGCGGGGCGGGGGGGGGGCGGGGCCGGGGGGGGGGGGGGGGGCTCCGCGGCGTGCGTGCGACGGGCAGGGGTGGGGGCGGCGGGCTCTCAGGGCCCCGCCGCGCGGCGCCGCTCCGCCCCCCGGCCGCCGCCTCGGCCGCCCGACCCTCCGCCGCCGCCGCCACTCACCTCCTCGCGGAGCCCCAGCGCGGAGCGCAAAGCGGGCACGCGCACCCGGCCTGCCCTCCCCCCGCCGGCCCCCCCCGCCCCCATGCGGGGCGCGCGCCCGACACCCGCCCGCAGCCAATCGGACCCGGCCCACCAGGCTCCGCGAGAGCCGCCCCCACCCAATCACCGAGCGGGACCCAGCTCGGCCGGCCCATAGGACTCGGCCGCCGCAGAGACTCCCTGACTCAGTCCCGCCCCCTTGACCCCAGCCGCCCAATCACCGCGCGCCTCCGCGCCCAGAGCTAGCGAGACCCCGCGAGATTCCCTCACCTCACACAACCCTCACCTCGGGCGGCCCCGCCTTCTTCACCTTTCTTGCCAATCACGCGGTGCCGCTCCGGCCTTCCGGCCAATCGAGTCTCCCCCCGGGTCGATTCCCGCCCCCGAGACCGGCTTTTTGCCCAATCGCGGCGCCCTATCCGATCCGATTAGCCAATGGGGGAAAACGAAAGCCCGAAAAGGGGTTACTGGGCCAATGGAGCTCGGAGCCCGGGCGGCGGCCTGATTGGCAGCTCTCCTCGCGAGTGAGGGGCGGCGGCGGCCGTTTTTCTTCGAATCGCTGCGCGAGGCTCCGTGTGACGGCCGAGGAAGTCTCTGGTGCGCCCGTCCGCGGGTGGGCAGCCGGCCAATGGGAGGCGGGAAGCGGGTGACGAGCGGCGGGAGGTGCCAATGGCGCTGCCGGGGCGGGGTGAGGTGAGGACGCGGAGGTCGCCGAGGCGGGCGGCTGGCTGGCTGGCTGGTCGGTCGGTGCGCGGCTGGCTGAGGGTGGGGAGCTGCGCGCGCGCGATGTTGGCGGGGCGCTGTGAGGCGACGGCCTTTGAGCTGCGCAGGGCGCGGGAACACCGCTGCTCTGAGGTGATTCCCGCCTCGCCCCGCCGCCAAAGGAACTCGCTGAATTCAGCGGAAGTGTGGCCGTGCATTTCGAACGAGAGCCGGCCTCGAGGCGTGCGGGGCGGCGTTGCCTCAGGTGCGGCGGGCTCGTGCAGAGCTGAGCCGCCCCGTTCCGCTCCGCCCGCTGAGTTTTGCTCCCATTGCGTAGCTGAGGTGCGCGTGGCGCTGTGGGCGCTGCTATGGGCGCCGCTTGGGACGCACCGCCTGCCGCTCCTCACAGCCTCCTGCCCTCAAGCGCTCTGCCAACATTTAGGTGCCTTGTTAACTCTCTGCTGCGTTTCTCAGGTGTTACTGGGTGTTGTACTCCGGAATTACCGCGTAGCTTTGCTGTCACGTTTGTTTTTAAAACGCTTCAGTTACTAGTTTACTTGGGAAAAAAAACACGGAAGGGCTCGTTTACACCTGGTTTGTGACCGCAGGGCGCGGGCGGAGGAAGTGCCAGGTGAAGCTCGTGCTCTCGTGCTGTATCTTTGTTCAGGTTGCTTTGAAAGGCTCTTTTAAAGAGCGACACGCGGGATATTAAAAAGTAATGCCGCAGGAAAACTCTTGAGAGTGGTTCGTATGGTTCATCTACGGCTCGTTCGACAAACTGCGGTGTTTGCAGGGATGGTGGCTCTCAAATGGAGGAGCGGCACCCAGCTGTGCCAGCGGGCAGCCTGCCGTGCCAACGGGCGGGGCGTGCAGGCGGAGCAGAACGCTCTAACCTGCATAGAGACCTTCCTCTGCGCCTCGAGCTTCTGGCTTCCTCTTGGTTGGCAAGTCCAAGCTGTGCTGAGTTTTCAGGTGGATGTCGGCAAATGGATGTTTTGCCTGTGAAATACTGAAAAGCTAGTGTTGGGCACTGTTTTGTAGACCAATTTTTTTCAGAGTAGAAGTGAGCTGGATTGCAGCCTGGCATTGCTAGTGGTTCTTCTGGCAGCTTTTTGCTGGGTTATTACAAGCCATCTTTTCCATTTTCCATGCGCCTAATGAAGTGTAACTAGAATGTGGGATGTCCCTTCGTTTTTTGCCACAACTACATTGTTCTTTTTATTTGCCCTTTGAAATTGAACCAGCTCTTCTCAATGAGGTAGAAGACTGGTGAGGTAGCAGCTGAAGGGATGCACTTATCTTGCATGTCCATATGGAGTCAAGTCAGATGGCAGTATTGAAGGACTCGCCCTAATGCTATATCATCCTTCCGTGCTGAACTTATAAAGCCTTTCATTGCTATTCTTGGCCTCTGCCTTACTGTAGAAGGCAAGGGCAAACAAGATTGAAGCTTGCTTAGGCTGAAATAAATTTAAGGAAACCTGGAATTGCAGGTATACCAAGTGCTCTATTTCTAATAGACCTCTTGTTTTCTCAGTGCAGTCCAGAGATAGAAGCCTGTTGCCTGCAATAGTGTTGCATGTTAGCTGTATAAATCGCACCTCCTTTGAACACAGCTGTGGAAGGAACATGTGGTGCTCTGCTATGAGTTGGTGCTTCCTTGTTCCTGCATGTCTATGGACAAGAAGCATGAAGCCTTCCGAGAGGAGCTTGCTAGAGCTGGTACACAGCTTTGAGCAAGAGTGCTTTGCAAGTAGTCCAGTGAGTGTGAGCTGGTGAATCTAATAGCAGGTACTTGAACTGGGAAGGTAGAAACACTGCTCTTGATCCTGCCAGAACCCAGTTTGATGGCACCTGATTTGTCATCCCCAGTGATGCATGGAGATATATGATACTGCTGCTGATGAAGCACGACAGATCAGTTCTAATTTTTTACTGGTGAAGACAGTTATTCATGGGGACATGCATCTGTCTCTTGCTATTTTGCTCACAGTAAGAGGACTGTAAAGCAGATACAAGTCTGCTTTTTGAGTATCAAACACCAAATGGTAGTGTATCTGAATTTGTCAGACATCTCGCTAAGCCTGTTTAAACAGCATGTAAAAGTAAATGCTGTAGTCTAGAAGCACAGAGGACAGACTTTTCTCTTCCTGAAAACCTATTGTATCAAGTTCAGTATTTCCTTCTGACTCTTGGGAGATTTACTCTCCCCTTGAATTTGCCACTTGCCTTGCAGAGGTATAATCTTTTTGACAGCACTCTGCATAAGGCTAAGTGGTGGAAGACAATGTGTAATCATCCCTGTTCTATTTCTTTGATCTTCCTCAACAGTGTGTTAACCTTAAAATTCTCCATGAAAGATGGTATTGCTCAGTATAAAATGCTATAATCCAGCTTCAGATGTAGGCTTTGGTGTTCTTTTTTTTTTTTTTGTGTTATGGAAACTGGCTATGAAAATAGGCCTTTAAATGATTTCGTGGCTCAGTATTGTACATAGATGTCCTTCAGCGTGTGTGTGCAGGTCTTTTTGTGACAATTTAATGCAGGAAAAGTAATATTAAAGAGAGAAAGCATAATTAAATGCTTGCATAGATTTCTGTGATGCACAAAATGGGGGCTCTGAGCTGCATTATTGATAATTTATTGTGTGGGTGTTTGACAAGCCCACACGCACCTCAGTGTACAACCCTGCAGATGCATTCCTCAGCATTCTGCAGCACTGTTAATATTTTATTCATAAATCCTACTATTGAAACCATAAAGTGTGGTAAGCAGTGTTAGTGCTTGGGAATTTGATGGCTTTTGGCTAGTCATATTTTGCTGTAAACTAATCATGGTTCTAACACACAAAGGGATAATTAATACATGCAAGGCATCCATAGCTTTAAAATTTGTTGTCTATTGCTATTTTTCTTTGAAAAATAATTTTCCAAAATGTTCATCTTTAAAACCTTTTATCTCTTCATAAAACAGAAAGCAAATTTATCTATTAATAAGGCAAAATGGGGAAAAGAATATTTTGTTGTGACTTTGGTTAGGTTTGCGTTACTTTATGAAGTCAGTACCTTTGTCTAGAAGGTAACAAAGTTCTGCTTGTTGTCAAATGGGGAATGAATTTTTGGTCTGTTCTAGGTACCACGTAATAGTGAAGAGGCTGGGGGAAAAAAATCAATCAAAATAAGTGGATGCCATAGCATAGCTTAGTCAATCAGAAAGGCACGTCGATCAAAATGAGCATCGCCTTCATCTTGAAAGCAGCCATGGCCCCTCAGCCCCGTTCATGGCTCTTGCAGCTTAGTTCTGGCAGTGGTCATATTGCAGTGACAGCTTTGTTCCAGGTTTGTGCAGTATGCAGTCTATGCAAGTATGGTAGTCACCATTTCGTGCTGGGGCTTGAATTCCTCCTAAAGACTGTCAGCTCCAAAGCACTGAACCCCATACCATCCAGTGTTTTCTAGCCAGAACTATTTTGTTTCACTTTTCTGGAGGAGTAACTGAATCCTTTGCTCAGCTTCAGAGCTTAAACGTGATCTTGTCTTTAACTGGAAGTGCTCAGGTGCTTAAAGTCAGTATATACTAATTTGCTATTTAAGGATATAGGTCTGATTGTTTATTGTTCTTTCTGTCTCATTTCCCTCTTGCTGCTGAATACCAGTTGTTGGTGGAAGAAGGGAGATCTTTAATCCTCAATAGAGTTTTGGAGAAATTGACAGTTCTACAGTTCTCTGTTCTCTATTTCTTTGCACCAGAAATGACCCTGCTGCTCTTTGTCACCAGTGTTTCCTTTTATCACTCTCCTGGCAGCTGCTTTTGCTCCATTTTGATGTCGGAACAACAAATGAACTCCCTCTGAAGCTAATGTCATGCCAGCAGATTTTGAAGCAGCAAGAAAATCATTTTTGTCTCTGAAGACAGAATTGGAGACCTTTGTGAATGAGCTGTGTTCTTAAAATAACTCTGCAGCATGTTATCCCCAGAAAGTGAAGAAGTTAAAACATCGTGACATACCACTTGTATTTGTGTGAGCAGGATCTCTAAGTAGTGGAGTGAGGAGAGAAGCAGGTTTCTTCCTTCTCCAAATTGAGTGTAGTATCTGAGCTCTTTGTTTCTGCAGTATCTCTTTCTGAGGGGGAGTAGAGGAGGAAGAGGCTAAGACTCCAGTAATTAAAATAAATTGAATTATTGAGGTTGTAGGTTTGATCAGTGAAGAGACTAACACTGCTGTGGTGGTGTTTTTAGGAATACTGTCCTTCAGAGGCCTGGCTTCTGTCTGTCACCGATTCCAGTGACAATGAATTGAATGACCCAGTTGAATTGATCCAAATTGATGACATGCCTCTTGCTAAGCATTTTGTTCACAGCGTCATGGCTAACAGGTATGACAATTCCTCATCCTTCATTCAATTACGCTGAAGCAAAGCATGTGCTAAAACTTGCTTTGTCAGAATTACTGTGTTTTGACCCAATACTCTGCAGATCAGATTCAGTGAAGTTGTGGGTAGGAGATAAAACCTTTAGGCTGTTAAGTTCTTGCGGTTGATACATCAGTAAATACCAGTTAGTTTTATTTGCTTTAGCTTTGTAATGATAACACAAAGTCCAGCCTGTTTTTTTTTTTTTTTTTTTTTCCTCATTTCAAGTCTGGATAGCTTCTTAGAGCTTGTTCATATAATGACTAATCTTTTCTAGCACAGTAGCTCATAAATCAATCCTTCACCATGTCAGAGTGCCTTGAGTGTTGTAATAGACCACGTTCATTCAGTATCAGAAAAGAACAACGCTTTATGGAAACACTCATAAACGGTAATTTTTAAATTGAGGTCTTTGCAGCAGGCACACCTATCCATTACAGCAGGGCAGCTTTGAGAATGCATCTTAAACACTGTTTTTCACTGAGGTACAGAGAAGTGATTGTTCCCTGTGGTCTTGCCAGTTTTACTGTATTTCTTTGTCGTATGCAGTCAGGATGGAAATACATAAAAAGCCATAACATCTGGGAACTAATAGGAAATAAACTTGCAGTCTTGTTCATGACAGCATCTCACTTCAGTATTGTCTTTAGAGTTTGACTCGTGTAAACTGGGATAATGCAATGCTAATTGGACTTGTTTGCATAGGAGATGCTGTAATTGGTGCAACTTGAAGCCTGTGCTTTTATTTGGTCATCACAGGTATGGAAAAACAAATTTCAGGTTGACTCCAAACTTGCCTACATATATGTCAGTAGACTTTGGCCCATGATGGTAATTTAAAATGGACCGCATGAAGCCAAATCCTCTGATAAAATCAAAAGATTTACACAGCATCAAAATCTTCACATCTCCCTCATGCAAGCTTTTCTGAATCACTTCTGTTAAGTAAGTTGGTCATTAGGTTCCTGTGCTATGGTACCAGAGCACTTGGATGCTATCAGTGACAGCTCTGCTCACTAAATGACTGCTGAGCCTTCACGCACTGAACTTCTGCCCTTGCCTGGAAGCCTTGGCAGAGGGTTTCACTATGTACATTTGTGCAGACATATTTCTGGGTTTTCTGTGTGTGAAGAGGGTAAGAGCTATGTATGCATCAGTTGATTGCATTTTTATGTTCTACAGCACTGGCATCACACACATCCTGATGCCTTTCCAACTCCTCAACATCACTGACTAGGTTTAAGAAGGTGGTAAGAAGCTGAATGCAGTAAGGCCCCAATGGCCTGTGGGTGGGCTTCAATCAGTCTCTCCCTTACACAGAGGACAGTGATTTAGAGTTAGTGTGCATTTATTTTTGTTGTTAGTTTTTATTAGCACCAATCTTTGCAGCACTGTTGCAGCCTTCTGCCAGCCGTTTGCCATTAAGCTGTTGCAGCAGGACGTGAAGCTTTTCATAGTTTCATTCCAGGCTGGACCATAGGATCTTGTGAATTGCTCTGGCTTTATACCCTCTTGCAGACTAAATGACAGTCTAACACATCATCTAGAAGAATCTGCAAGCAGCCATCTTAGATACCTTGAGTTTCTCCCCACTGTTGCTTAAGACAAAATGAATTTAATATAATTTTTAGTGAGGGAAAATTATAAGGACAGAATGCAGGAAGCCCATTAAATGTGAACACCCAGTGATTGGGCTTTGGTTCTGTCCTCTCCTCCTCACTCATCTTAGGAGCTGCTTTGTATTAAAAGTAACACATCTGCAGGACGGTGCTCCAACATCTGAAACAAAATGAATTGCTTGTTTGCTTTTCTGCATTCTTCCAACCTCTGCATGTGCAGATCTCCTGTATGTTAACAACTTCTATCAATTGCTCGTGTGCAGGAAAAAAATAGATATTAATGAAATATCTAGTGAAACTTTAGGTATTAAGTGACTGTTCAACATGAAAAGGAATACTCTTGAAGTTTATGGGCCTGTCTTCTGAAATGTTGATGTTGTTTACACCACTAAAACTATGCAAATAACTTGCCTAATTTCCCTCTCCTGGAGTGTTTGCTAGCAAATAATCACTTTATTTAAAAGTATTCCATATGAAAAATGCTCTGCTTTTGTTGGGGCTTTGAATTTTGACTTTGTAGACTGATCCAAGAAATGAGTTGTAGGTGTATCTTGCTGACTGCCTGCTTTTTCAATCACTCGAGCTGTGGTTATTCTGCTAAGCTGGTATTTCTTTGTTTTGTTTTAGACGGCTGCCCAAGTGCTTGTAGTTGCAATAACTGTTTGTTAAAATATGAGTGTATGAATGTGACCTGAAGTATCACTTCGTCAGTATTCGTGCTAGAAAATTACAACAGCACAAAGGTTCATCATAAGCAAATAGAAAATACTGCAGATTTAAGGATACTTAGATCTTCTTTGATCCTTAATTATCACACAGTTAATTCTTTCTTCCAGTCTAGAAACTAACTTGTAGCTGGGGAGGCACGTGTTTAAATCGTGTCCTGGAGAATGCTTGAGCTTACTTTTAAGCAAGTATGTAAGTTACATTGGTTCAGTGACTCAGAACTGCTTGAATCTCATGCACCGTCAGACTGACTGCATAAACAAGAGTTGCAATGTAAATGCTACAGTAAATAAGATAAATATGGGTCTGGTTTTCTGTGAATTTATCACTGATTTTGACTTTCTGGTATGAAAATGTAATTTATTTATTTTTAAAGGGAAACATTCAACTAATTTTATAATATACTGAAATGTATTAAGTTACACAAAAGAATCCATATTATAGTAATCCTACATGTATATGGGAGAGGAGCACTGAGCGTGCATGGCAGATGGTTTCAAAGGAAATCCTCGAGAGCTGGGATTAAAAAGCAATTTTCAGCAAGTTTAAAGTGGGTCTCCATATTTGGGTCACAGATATTAACTCCTTCATCACAAACAAATGAGAGAGGAGTCGTGTAGGGCTGTTGTGGGGATGTTTCTCTCAAGCAGAGCTGACCAACATGCAGTGCCAAAGAAAGAAATGGGGATGGTGATTCTGGTCGTAGTCCTGCTGTTCTGGCCACTGCAGGAGGTGGAGCTGCAGTGTGCAGAGACAAGGGCTGCTGCCAGTTAGCTGGTGTCAGGGTTTGGCTGAGGATCACTGGTAACCTCATTGGTAACCTGGAAACAATGTATTTCATGGCTGCTTCAGTTTTTGGCTGCCCACCCTCACGGATTTAAACAAAGTCAAATGTTGCAGAATAAAATGCTCATGAGTGGTATTTTTGTTGTTCAGAAGTTGGAATTTTCAAGGACACCTGAGGTATAAAGTTTAAGGTACCTAATGCTACTTTGCTTCACGTTTCTGAGCGCTGTTCCTGCCACTGCCAACTCGCACTGATTTTATTGGTCTTTAGATCAGAATTCTGCATTTTTTTGTGCCTCAGACGTGTGGATAATCCTCTTCCTTTCTCCTACCTGTCACTTTTCTTCAAAACTTTCTGGCGTGTTAAAAAGTACCAGTTTCCATGCAACAAGTTTATGCTTATTATGTTATGATCTTATGAAATTGCAATATGACATTCTGGTTTGTGTTTGACCTTATGATAAATAAGAAATCGAACAGCTATGCAAGAATGTCTTATTCAGTCCTAAATACCAGTGAACGTGGGCTGTGAGTTTTGCTTGAAGTATGTATGCTTACAAATGGCAAACAAGGCCGTGTGTTCTCTGGCATTGCTTTAGGAGGGCACTTTATTTACTTTTAAAATTAAGCTCTAGCCTTGGTTATATTCTAATGTTAACAGTACCATGCAAACATTGTTCCAGGCTGCAGCTCTTCACATCAGTGTTTGAATATCCAGGAATATTACCAGTATCATGTATAAAAATGAGTGCAGTTTGACTTGGCTTCTCTGGATCTCTGAAGCCTACTGGCTCTGTAGCTGGTATAAATAGCACAGCAAGTTGGGGATTATTGGCTTTAGCCAACTTACACTAGCTAGTAAACATGTTAGGAATGTAATTCACACATCAGTGCTCCTTTATGTGCTTCTCACAGTGTGAAGGGGAGTTATCTGACTGGGCTGAATTCTTTTAAAGGCTCCTATAATTCCGAGGCAGAAATTCAAGTTGAACTCTGAGTAATATTTATCACTAAATAATGACATGCAAACTAACAGCAGTTCCTGTGTTCTCAAAACTAAATTTTGTGTGCTTTGAGTAGATTTGCTCAGCTTTCCCAGCAGAGGTGTCTGATGTTCTGCTAAGTGAATTATAGAATTAATTGCTGGTTTAAATTTCAGCCTATGGAGAAGTTAATTGGGTTGCTCTTTGGCTATTATGTTAGCTGCATGTTAACAGCAAAGGACAATATACTTCTGAAAGGGCATCATAAATGTCCTACTGGGTAACTAACTGCAGATATGTCTATGGACTGTTAATTAATGCTGCTAAATAATAGGTGTTTTCTTCAGGACTGATTGGACATATCAGAGCTCCTATCTGCTCTTTAGAAAACAAAATTCTAATGGGTGAAAGCCATACTATGAAATACTTGCCAGTGCTCAGCTCTTCCGCCAAAACCAGAAAGCTTCAGTTGTCTCATGATTGTTTTTTAACTGAATTTGAATCTGCTCTCCAGCATTTCCTATAAGGAATATATGAATCTTGATAGGGCGAGACTTGGCTTCATGTGACCTTTCCAGGTGCTTTTATTTTAGTATAATTAGTGTTTCAGATGATTATTCCTGCACAAAATAAATTTAGTCTTTCTTTATAAGTTGCCCCAGACTACAGGGAGGCAACAGGTTAAAAAACAAAAACAAAAAAAAAAAAACCACCAACCAAACAAAAAACCCAACAGACTGAATGCTGTGTGAGCTGGTACAAGTGGTTACTTTTCCCCCACCCCCAGTTCTTTGAGACCTACTAACATCCTTGCAAAGAATGGAGTTTGTTGATGCTGATGAGATGAGGTCTGAGCATAAAGATGTGTATTATAGGCCTTGGCTGCAAACAGAGCATCTCCTATAGTCATAACTCGAATGTGAGTTTTAATGCTTTTATTCTTGGAACCTGCATTTCCAATTTGTGCATAAATTCAGTATCCCAAGCTGTTGTCAGCCATTATGTGGCCAAGTTATGATTTTAATTGAAACAATTCTAGATTTTTTTTCCCCAATGCCAAAAGTTCCTTTGATCGTAATTCTATAAACACAGTTGAGAATTTTGATTTAGATTCTTCAAAACCTGTCCTTTCAATGAAGTCATGTAGATCAATTCAGGTTCTGCTGTTGCTGGTACCTTCCAGGACTTTGCTTTCAAGTTGCTTTTTGCTTGTTGAAGTAGCAGATGATCTGAGCCATTTGTCTTTGGATGCATGTTAGAATCCCTTCTCTTCAACAAACTTGCATCGACTCCTAAAGAAAGGAATCAGTGTTGATTTTAGAGAACCAGTCTGCCTGATTCACCTTGCTCACTGTGCAGTCAAGTATTTGATTAAGCAGGATTTTCTCATACAGAGTAGAATGTCCATCCACGATGGAAGGAGGAGTAAGCTGATGCAGATAACCAGAATTTATGAAGTTTCATGGAGGGAGGAGGTGGGAAGGAGTCCTGAATTCTCCTGTTAGGGCTAAATGTGAGTCATCGAACCTACAGTGAGGTGCAACTCTAAAGCAATATGGTGTGCTGTTAGAATGTTTAAAAATAATGTAAAAAGGAAAATTCTCAGATGCTGTTTGAATGTTCTATGTTATCTTTGTTGTGAATCACATTTTCAGTTAAAATAGTAACTGTCAGGGGAGATAATTCTAGTTCTTTACAGCCTTCTAGAAGCTAATTCCTAACAGCAGAAGTTGGTCATGCAGCAGGGTATTTGATACCTTGTGCCCCTTCCTTCAGAAGGGTGCTCGAACATTTTGGGAGGGGACTGTGGCACTATGGTGATGGGAGTGGAAAGCCAAATAACCCAGTAATCTTCAGTTTTAATCAGAGGATGCTAGGGTGTCGTAGTGTTGATAGATGCACTTTTCCAAAGCAGAGTTGTGCTGTTACAAACATGTAATTCTCTATGAAATTGTCTTTTTTCAGAGTTCTGAGTATTGGAGATTATAGTTCTTATGTTAAATTATTTCTTATGTGCAGAAACAGGAAATAGCAAAGGTTTGGTTCCACTGAGTGCTTTGGAATTGCTCAGTACCTTTGGCGGCAGCGTGTACTTATTAAAAATGCTTTAATAGATCACTGAAAGAATAACCTATGCATCTCAAGGCTGTGAATTCACTTGTAATGTAACCAGTTGGATTCTGCTCTTCTTATTGATGGTATTTTAAGTAGTGAGTTGGGGAAAACCAGATAATGGAAATTGATTCTTCTCTGCAGGTCTCACTTTCTGCTGGACTTCGGCAGAGCTGATCTGTGAGGATAATCGAGGCTCTTTTGCTCTGAATGCTGTAAGTGATTATTTTCTTTGGTTCTATGGCAATCACTAGGAGCCCATTTGTCCCATGTAGAGAAAAAGGTGAAAATGCCAAAGCACAAATAAATGGTGAAAATGAAGTTGATGCAGATTAGTTATGACTTACATGTGGTCTGGAAATCGTTCCTGCAAATATTTTATGGTTAGGAACACTCCTCTTTCCCCTCTAGCTGTGCTGACAAAGGCAGTAGCAGAATCCTAATTTCAAATTGCCACTGCAGATACCAAAGTAAACAATGTTTTGATAGGTTCATCGGGATTACAGATGGATTAGCAATTTGAATATGGTGCAGGGAATGTGCTGTGTCTGTGTATGTTGTATCTGACTGAGAGGGAACACCTGAAGAACTGGTACAGTGTCTTAGCCAGGAAATTCTTGCTGGGAAGTCAGAGGAGTGATAAAACTTGAATGGAAAAACAGTGATGTGGGTGATGGTCCTAGCTGTTATTTAGCATAAGTTGTTTGAGTTTTGGGTGATGTGATAACAGAATAGGAGACATTTAAAATGTTTTTGTTCTGAGCTTCTTGCAATAGCAGAGTTCCTTGCTTTAAATCCTGCAAATGTGGAAGAATGTCTTCTGGAGCATCTGGGAAACGGCCCCTGTAGTAAAGGGAATCCAGCAGTTGTCTGGTGCGTTACTGCAGGGAGACTGGAAACAATGTTACGTTTTTGACCTTGTTTCAGTATTGCTTTTGTATTCTTTAACACGGTTGCTATTCTGGTACCAAAGAAAACATACAAAATTCTCTTCTTACCCCCCCATTTTTTCCTCCCTGAATCTGTAAGAATTTCCTGACTTGCTGAACAAAGAGGTTGGAACTAATTACATAGCCAACATCTGCACTGGGCTTGGTTATTAAGAGAATATTTAACATAGATGCTAAACTATTTTCTGACAAGAGAGCCTTGCCTATACACTTCTTCAGGGATGAGGGTAGTCTCTTCATTTTTGGTTCATTAAAGACATTTCCTTGATCAGTTAGAGTCTGGTTGGAAAGGAAAATAATTTTGCTTTTTAAATATCAAAATGTGGCTCATCAGGCTATTTGTAACCAGCTGCATCGGAGGTTGTGATAGTGTATCACTTCAGTTCCAATGGAGGCACATCACATGGATTGCCATTTTGATGGCTTTGAATGATAATCTGACCCATAAAAACTGAAGCATAATATGCAAGCTGATTTTTCTGGCCTGCCTTATTCTTGATGCCATCTGTGTTGGGATGGAGATGAGCCTGCTCAAAACGTGGCTTGCCAGTTTTAAGCAGAGTGGTAGTGCCGGTCACAGATGGGATTAAAAGAATAGCCCCATGTAAACAAGGAAAGAAGGAAGATGCTCCTGAAAGCAGGAAGTGTCACCTTAAAGCATATTGTGTCTGTTAAATCCTGTGGCCTATGGAACATCTATCAGACTTTTCTGTGAGTTCTTCATAGGGACAAAGTAACCTCAAGTGTCTTTCTAAAATAAAAAATGAACCCTTAGCTTCCAAATGTTGCTCTTTCACTAGTGTCAACTTCTATCCCTGTTAAGTATATGCAGGGTATCCACGCAACAAAATCAGTTACAATATATTATTTTGTAAGATTTGTGTTCTTAATTTGTTGTGTGAATCCTGCTGAGGTCATTGCATTTGGTGTGCTAGGCCGCATTTCTGAGTTCTTGTCCTTGTCAATAACAAAGCTCTGTCTTGCAGCTGAAGGTGAGTACCTGTCTTTCTGCAGTATCTATACTCAAAACATAAGGTGTTAAGGTCCCAGTTCTCACTGTAATCTATGAGGTCTGTCTTCTGCTCGGTTTGAGAGCCTGAGCTTTGAAGTTTAATGACCTTGCCTTTGATGAAACCACAAGTGTATCTTCGTACTGTTTATAATACAAAAATACATGAAATTATTTTCACTGATTACAAGTATAGTCCACAGAAATCTCCTTTTTTTTATCCCTTCTTAAATAGATTACATTGTTTGAGCTACCATACCATTTTGCAGCAGGGAGGCGTGTAAAAGAAGCCACTCATCAGTGATGCCATGTTCTTGACGCTTGAACATCCCTCCAGAGCTCTTTCAGTCTTTTATTTCCAAGCTAAATAAGCACCAATTTCAGTGGTATTTTATCTACTCCCTTTAATTACTGCTATGGAGAGAAAGTTTCTGCCGATGCAAATGTTATTTTGTCATGTCACATCACATTGCATCAGCCTTATATTTAGGAACAGAAAGAGGGGGAGGCAGAGACAGGATGTGGCTACAAATTGAACTAAAGGATTTTCTTCAATGCAGGCTGAAAATAGACAATTGAGGCAGCGATGCTTTTTCAAGCAGAAATCCATGAAAGGGAAAATCAAATCTGTGACGGCAGAAGTGAAAAGCAGGCTGAGGGTGTGAGAAGGAGGAGTTCTAGATGGAGGTGTGGGCTGGTGTCATGGACAAGCAGATGAGCTCGTTTATGCTAACACCCCTTACGCTGCCTGGTTGGTGAGAAGTAGCTTTAGAATGTCAGACCACGTACAGTTATTCTACTTCTGTGCAGGCTAAAAAGTTCTAGCCCTGTTTCTTCTTTCTTTGTTGCTGGGCATGCCACCTGCCCTTTCCTTTGTGATTATTTCACCTTCAGAGATAATTTGATAGATGTTCATAGATGCTTATTTTCACCAACCAAAATTTTAGCTAGTGACTTTAATGTAGCTTTTAATGCTACAGCCAGTGTTTGCCTGCAGAAATTCTGGTGGAAGAATGAAATCCTCCAAATACAATTCTAATACTGGTACACTACTGATATTCCAAGTTACACTGGGCGGAAATTCTTTCATGGCAATACGTAGTATTTGTTTGTTTCTGTTAACTAATTCCATTAATAGCTCTCAGTTCACATTTCTTTTATTGTTTTCCCTTCCCAAGGAGCTTTGAATCAGATCCTTGGTAATTATTCTACCTTTGCCTGACCTCTCCTGTACTTCTGAAGCTCTGCTGATAGATGAGAAAACTGGGCATGGAATTTTTCAGTCCTAGTCCAGCAACAGCACAAAATAAAAGCAAGCCTCTACAGATAGAATAAGTAGAAAAGGTTTATTTGGTCACTGTATGATGGGTATCACACCAGTGTCAGCCGTGCAAGCCATTAACAAAAACGCCAAATTAAAACTAAATTATGATAAATAGAGAAAAATTTACAGTAATTATTCAAGTGAATGTAGTGCTTTTTTCCCAAAGATTATTTATATTCTTGAAGCAAGTAATTCTGGTTCTTCAAAAAATACAGTAGTGTATTCCCCATGGGAAATATCTTTTCTCCTCTCAGATCTAGGCATAAAATGACCTATTGCAATCAAATACAGAAGTTATACATGTGATACAGCATGCTTTGAAATGATGAGGCTGATTGGAAACTGGCAATTAAATTCTGAAAAATTGTCTGTTTGAGAAGCATCAGATCTCCGGGTGTGGATGTGGGCTGGAGGCGTAGTGGTGGCACTGATTTCCCAAATTAGAAAAAATAAATGCATTTCTTACAGCTAAGTGCTTTGATTTTCTTTCTGAAAACAATTGGTGACTTCTAGAGATATTTTTATTCTTGTCACCAAGGATAATAAAAATGCATTAGAAGTATAGAAGCCTGTTTATTGACAACATTGACAAATGTAAAAACAAAGCAGTATTTCACACTGAAACTAGACAGGCTGAGGTACCCAGCTCTTCATAACTAAGTGTTACCAGTCCTCCCAAACTGTGAGATATCAGAGTGATGCTGTCATATGATCTCTTAATTTTTGAATTCTTTATAACTGGAAACAAACACCTTTGGTGCTACATCCATGTACCCAGTGAAGCCTGATGAAGGCAAGGTTTGCCTTGGGCTTTATGTACAAAGCTGGCACATGGGTGCGTGATTGTCTGTGCTCACAGTGAGCAGGTTCACAACTGGGAAAAGGGGTGCAGTGCTGATTTGCAGTGTGAGGAGGCTGATGGCTTAGGCACAGTTGTGGTGTTTGGTGTTCTGCCATATGTGACTTCTATATTTGGTAAATGCATCTCTTCTCCATGGTGTGTGGCTAGGCCATAGAGGGTCTGGGAATGCTTCTTCCAGTAGAGAAGGGAAGAGGTGAGAGAATCCTTTACGAATTCTAGTTATACTTCAGGAATTTTATGTGAGTGAATGCTTTGTTGTTCACTTTCAGGTCCGTGTACTTCCCAGCGCTTAAGACAATCATGTCAAATTTTTCTTCCTCATGATTTTTTTTAAGCTCATGAGAAAATTAAAAATGTCTCAGTAAACTGTATTTTCTTAGTAAAGAATGCAGTACTGTTGTACTTTTTTCAGAGCAAATCACAGAAATATTAAATAAAGGAACATAGCTGTTTTATAGTTGGCACATTTATTTTGAATTGAGTAAGTCTGGAAAATATTAGATTAAAACTGCAGATCAAATAAAGAGTCTGCAAGCTTTCTCCAGATTGTTCATAAAAAAAAAAAAACAAAAAAAAACAACAACAACAAAAAAACCCAACCCAATTGACAACACTGCATCAAGAAAATGTTCTTAATGTCTTTAGGTAAAGGAAAAGTATTGTGGCTCAAACATTATTAAATCTGTATTGTTTAGTTGATAGGATGGGAGAAGATGCTTGCGGAGTGCTGTGTCAGATTTATCAGGGCATGTTTTAATTCTAGATCACTTGCTAGATTTTGCAGCTATTTGTCTGGTGTTGGGGTAATTGAGAGGGCTGAGTAAAGCCAGATGACTGTAATGAACTTTTGTCTTTTGCTCATTCTGGAAAGAAAAAAAGCTATTTATAGGGTATTGTGTATGGTTAGGACTTCTGTTCTTCCTGTTTCTCCAACTTTCTCTGGGCCACTGACTTTGTGCCATCACCAATAATTATATCAAGTTAATAATAATGGAGTTAATTATAAGATATGAAGGTTAGCACCGTGACTTCCATCGAACCAAAGCTTTTATCCCCATTTTACTGAGGCT